AATCAAATTATATAAGTTTGTTTCACCGCATAATTTCATAAAAAAAAAAAAGAGTCAAATATGTTTTTAAAATCTCGAAAGTTGCACTAATATTTCTGCTCTTTTTCCCACACTCATCCACTGTAACTGTTTGTTCTTTTTTTCGTGTTTCTACAAACCACCAAACCATTAACTTTTTTTTATCATTAGCTCCATTTTTAATCACTCTTGAACCTCTTTGAACTAATTTTTCATGTATTTTGAGAATCCGCAGCAGAAGGAAGCTAATCAATGTCAAAAACAATTGAAATTCCACCTGGGTTTACAAAAACATTGTGCAAAAGAATAAGTATTGATCACGATAGTTACATGCAAGATGATAAGAGGAAAATTGGGTCTGTTAATGAACTTTCTGGTAGAAGGTGCAGTTTAAGAGAAAGATTTGCCCCAAATCTGTATATTCCTGTCCAGTTTCAGCCCCGTCCACGTACACCGGGCCGCCCTCGGAAACAGAGATCAGATGGTGAGCTAACTACTTTTGCTTTTGATAATTTTCTATCTATCTGAGTTCACGAACAACATTCCCAATTTGGGGGTTTTCGTTACGGGCATCTGTATTAGGATCGACTAAATTATCTGAAGTTGCATGTTGTTGTTCATGAGGGGCATTTCTAATTTGATTAGAGTTTTTTCATGTGACATTGTTTGTTTGATTGAATATGAAGTTAAAAAAATAATAGAAGATTTTATTATATTTACCAAATTGCCCTTATTGAAGTCGCTTGAGTATTTCCTCCTCTCATTTTATGTGACAACATTTGATCGGACACGAAATTTAAGAAATAATAAAAACTTTGAAATGTTTACCAAATTACTCTTAAAAAAATACTTCCATTCGTTTCAAAAAGATTGGTTTCGTTTGACTTGGAACGGAGTTTAAGAAAAGAAAGAATACTTTTTAATATTGTGGTTGTAATTTAAAGTTATGTCAAGTGTATCAAAATACCTTTTAATTTTGTGGTCTTAAACATGTCACGTGGATAGCTAAAGTTAAAGTCTTGTAAAAAAAGAAAAGTGGTTATTCTTTTTTAAACATACCAAAAAAAACAAGGTAATTCTTTTTTAAACGAAGAGAGTAATTAACTTTTCTGTTACCTCATAAATGTATTAGAATACTTATCTTTAAAATTAAGTGGAATCGATAAGGGTAAAAAGAATTATATCTTTAAATACTTACGATATAAGTAAATGTGATATTCTTTTTGAAACTGATAAAAAAGGAAATGATTAAAGGTTTAGTAATTTTCAAGAAGTTTAATCTTTTAAAACGTCCCGCGTCTTCTTAAGCTAAAGCTTCAATAAGTTCTAACAGTTAAGCATATATCTTTTTCCTTTGCTTCTTCCAATTTCTTAAACTAAAGCTTTCCATGTTGATATTGAAGTGACAGCTTCACAATCGTCACGACGCAGACCTGGTCGCCGCTCTTCCAAACAGAATTCAGATGGTGAGCTTCTTCCTTTTCCCGCTCCGTACTTTTGCTTCATGACTAATGAATTTATATCCAGAAAGCCAACATCCTGTTGTGGTTCATGGTTTCTTATCATTGAATGTTCCAATCCCCTGCCTCATTTTTCAATCGTTAAGCATGTATTGTTTTCCCTAACTTGATCCACATTCTCAAAACTATGTCTTTCCATGTTGTTGATGTTGGATTCCATCCATGGCAACAACAGAAATGCCAGCCTCGCAACCTTCACTGCGTAGATCACGTCACCCTCGGAGAAAGCTATCAGATGGTAAGCCTCCTCTTGTCCCCACTCCTTATTTTTGCTTCATGATTAATGATTTTTAATCTAGTGAAGTAACATTGTGTTTTGGTTCAAGATTCCATTTCCTTTTTTCTATGTGGAGGTTACTATTAAAGTAGTTCACATATTGTTTAAAATTCCAACGTATATGATAAATGTGCATTTGATGAATTTTTAAAGGAAAAAACATGATCAACGAGGGTTCATATAGCAGACCTGAACTTGTTCGTGTTGGTGCTATAAAATTGTTTCTTTTGTTCCTGCACTATCAACATCACGGAAAGGAGAACTGGTCGCCTCTGTTATCATTTGTCTTCCATCAACTTTTTTCTACATTTTTTCAGTCCAAGATTCCTGTTAAAAGATCGCGTCTTTACGTTTTGCCAACATGAATTAGAATTATATAATAATGATGAAACTTCTCAGGAAGTTTTAACTTTAAATTGTTGATGTTGTTTATGCGACTGCCACAGCTCCAGCAGTTTCTTTTCCTACACCACCATCGGGGTCGACCAGAGAAGATCCAGTACAAGTTTCTGTAACTGCAAATGCTCCGGAGCCAGTCACCCCACCTCCCGGGCCACCATTGGGATCAACCAGTCATAGTCCTTTGGAAGTTCCCGAGGATGAGCAAATAGAAACAAAGTTAAAGATAAATCCTTTATTAAGACTGAAGAAACCCCCAAGTACAAATCAAACGCCCGAGATGCTTGACGAAGAATTGAAGAAAGTAATTCTTAAAGTTGAGTATATATTGGTGCAGAAGCTGCTTACTTCTGGGAGCAACGACGTTGACTGCATGGTTCATCAGGCCAATACTACCTTTACCTATTTGAAAGGATTTGGTGTTGATTATGGCTCTTTCTACAAAGACGTCAGGGAGTACATTGAACATCGCTACAATTTACATGATGCTGAGAGAGAAGAAAACTCATTGTCCTTCTCGGTGTGGGGAGGGAATTATCTAAATGCTATGCGTGATGTAAATGATGTTGATGAGGTTATTGCTCGTACTCGTGGAGAACAGGAGAAGGTCAAAGAGAAAATTGGATCTTTGAAGAGTCACATTGAAGTTCTGAAGCAAGAGCTAGAACGTGTGGAACGCGAAGATGAACGTCTGAAACATGATATGATAAAATACAAAGTAGCACAAAAAGATGCAGAAGCCAAGAGACGCGAAGTTGGCATACAGTTGGAGGCAGCTCAAGTAAAGATAAGGGAAATTAAGCAACGCAAAAATGCAGCTCTCGCAGGGATTGAATCCACCACTCAACGCCTAGAGTCTACATATCGTTGATCATCTCGGTTAGTTAGACTTTGCATCCTCTTATTGAACTAGATCACCTACTAGATAATCTGCAAGTCTTCATCACTATTTTGACATGTTTTGGGAACAGGCTGTTTCTTCGTTTAGTTATCGGTATTTAGTATATTCTCCTTAAGTTTCTTGTCATGCTTTTAGCCTTTTTAACTTGTGGGCTCAGATTGCCTTTTTAACTTCAGTTTCATGGATGGCATTGATTCCACCCAAGGATCGCAAAATCAGCCCATAACCCAACTCGTTTAAGTTTGAATAGGTTAATAACACGCTTGTTTTGCGCGTGTTCTCAACGTTTGAAGGGTATAGAGGTTAGAAAATTATATATATGAAAGTAATGAATGAAAACTTAGCTTAACAATGAAAATTAAATTTATATCTATTCGAGTAGATACATTATAATTGTTGACCATATATTGCTCATGAGTATGTTCATGAGAGGAAACAAGTATATCCCATTATATTGATGGGAGGCAACAAGTGTATCCCATGAAATTAGTGTGTTAAGCTAGCAAAAGAAAGTACGGAAAAGAATATCCCTCGAATTGTCGTAAATGGTATACAAATATTTTCTGTTATATTTTTGGGAAATTGGTATACCCGTCCGAATAATTAAAGCATATGTACCCTTTATAATGGATATACATATGTTATAATTATATCCATCAGCCTGACATTTATTAAATATTAAAGAGAGTTAAATTGTAACACATATTCCTTTTTAGTCTTTTGTTAGAGTGAATGATATATATGTTTAAGTTTTTTTGATGATAGACGCACCAATATCTCAGAAGTATGATAAAAAATATCTACATATTATTTATAATATTTCGAAGATATATTTGTTCCTTTTCCAAGAAAAAAATATGGATCACAGCTTTGGATTCTTTGTTGGAAAATCTTTTGATGATATTTACTTGTACGTTCTAATAATTAGTTACTATTTGCAGTTTCACATGCATTGAATATTTTCCTGACAAGGCTAAAGATAAACAGAGAAGAAAACTCTAAAACTTTCCATTTGTATCATTCGAAGAAAAAAAAATTGTTAAGTGATCCGTTCGTCTTTATTTGGAGATTCAAATTATATAAATTTTGAGTTATATTTTGAAATTTATTTATCATTATTTTAACATCAGAAAACCTTGTAATTTGTATTAATATTTTTTATATTTTGAGTTCCATTTTATTTTCTTTAATAGAAACAACCAGAATTGGTCCTTGATATATCGTTTTTAATATATTAATTTTATTTTAAAATATTTTAACTTTCGAAAAAAATAAAAGATATTATATGAAAGTAAATTTTGGTCAAAAGTATTTTTGAAGTTTTGACCAAACATAAATTTATTTCTCTGTTGTCATCATAAATGCATTTCAAATTAATTAAGCAATTGCAATCAGACATTTCAATAAAAGAAAAATCAAAACTAGCAAAATTGATAGTTTGGCCAAACGAACTATTACTTCATCACCTTTTGAACATGTTAAATTTTATATTTTAATAAATATATTAGATATTGAATAATATTTAATAACAAAGGTAAAAAATAGATACAAAGCTATCGACTTTTAATGATCATTAATTTTTTTTACAGTCCAAATATAAAAAAAATTGATCTAACATTTCACGATATTTTTTTTCATCATATTTATATGTAAAAATTGTAATTTTTTATATTTTTCGTATAATTTTAAATATTTTTATTTAAAAAATATCAAATTTAATGTTAAAAATTAATTAAATTAACTTTTAAAAATTATAACCTAGTAAAAAAAATAACAGAGAAAATAACTTTTTTTAAATAAACTAATTTTATCCAAAAAATATTTTAAAATTAATTTATTTTACGCAGTTTTTCATGGTTTTGTCTCTTTGTTTTTTCCCTTTTTCCCACCGTTCATTGACTTCCTTTCCCATTTCCTCCTCTGTACTTTTTTTTTTTCAGCTACCTCTTTTTTCCCCATCTTTGAACTCCAAAAATTATAATTTACGTTCGAATTGGCTGACTCGAATCTACAATCTATCGACTAAAAAAAAATCTCAACAATGACAGATAAAAATTATTTTTCAGAAATACCCCCTGGATTTACCAAATGTGTGCCTAGAAACATTGAAACTCCAACAATTTATTCTCGTCAGAGTGAGAAATTTATCGATGATTTCGAAAGAGGTAGACAACAACTCCCTCAGATACCAGTTTCAGCAGAAGGTAAGCTTCAATTTTGCCTTTTTTCGTGTTTATGAGTTTTAAATTCTAAAATAAAAAACTCAATTCACTTGATTTTAAATAAATTATTTTATTAAATTATTAAAATTATTGAGTTTTGTCAGACCTGTAACTGTAACTATGGCTCCAGCCCCTGTCCCTACTACCCACTTTTGCTTCACTGCTATTAGTTTTTCTTTTATGTAAAAAGTACTGGAACTTTAATCGAAATTTCAGAGACATAGACATAAAAATTATTAAGTATATACCTCTGAACTCAGTTTTTTCTTGTAATTTTATATATCTTGTGAATTATGTGACATATTTCATAACTCCACGCAGTTGAGACGCCTGAAATATATTTGAAAGTAAAAAAAATGTATAAAATTACAAAAAGAAAATGTGTTCAAGGACCGTAATTTAGTTACCTTTATCCCTATTTTTATTACATTATGGGAGGAGAGGGAAAGGGTAAAATAAGGAGCGCACCAAGTGAACTAGCCCTCGATTTCGAGGTTTAGTGTTGGTTCGGGTTCAATTGAATTCATAATGTTAAAGTTTTGATATTATTGATTTTGAAACAAAGTATTGAAAAATACTAAATCTTTTTGATATTGTTGATTTTGAAGCTTCATCAATGGCAATGCCAACAATGCCATTGGGATCGAGTATAAATACTCTAATAATCAAAGATGAAAAGATAAATCTGAATCCGTTGACATTACTGAGTCCACCACCAAATCAACGTGTTCGGATTAATGATTTTTCATCTCCTCACATCAACGAGGAATCGAAGACTATAATCTCTCAGGTCAAATCAGTTTTGGTGTTCCAGCTCACCTCTGGAAGCACGAAAAACATTGAAGCAATGATTAAGTTCGCGAACAATGCATTCTTCAACTTGGATTCATCTTTCTACAACAATGTTAGAGATTTCATCGCGTGTCATTATGATTTGCTCATCGCTAAGAGACAGAGAGAAATGCAGTCATTTCCTATAGAGCTGAAGACTAGATATGAAAACGCGATAACTTGTGCAAATGATCTTAAAGATGAGATCTTTCAAACACAAGGACATATCGCGATGGTTATGAAAAAGAAGGAGAGTTTAGAAAGACAGATAGCAGACGCGATGGAACTGATTGGTAAGTTGAAAGAATGCGTGGCTGTTCTAAAACAGGAGGAAGGGGCATTGAAATACGAGGAACAAAAATGTGTTGCAGCGTATGAGATTGCAAATCATGAAGTGCAAAAAGTTTGTAATCAAGCCGAGGCAGCTAAGAATGTACTGAGGGAAATTGATCAGCGCGAAAATGCAGCTCTCAATGGCACTGAGTTAGCCTTTCGACGTCTAAAAGCAATACAATCTTAGCTTAAGTTTCAGATACAATGTACATTTTCTAACTGTTTCGCGAATTTTATGGTGTTTTTATTGTAAATAGGATTGTAGCTTCAGTTAGTTGTATGTGTTTTAGTCGTTACGTTTTGATGTGATGGTGTGAAAATAGAACTGACTTCGCTTCTACTCGTAACAATAAGTAGCAAACTACAGGGGATTTTATGTAGTTTCTTTTGAAGTTAGGTGCTTTGAGTGATAGGGAATTAAATGAATGCAAAGTTGTTGATAATTTGTGTTGAAAATTGTTGTTATGAAGAAAGGAAAAAAAAGCCTCAAATATATATATGAACTTGGATCGAAATTATTGTTATGATATTAAACTTTGGAAAGGGTCTTTTATGGAGTAGTTTATTTTAAAAGTATAATATAATGTATCCACGTGGATACATAAATACACTATTTAATAATGCAGAGAATAAAACATTCTCTATAAAATTTGTTATCTTAATGATAATTTCGATTAAAATTAAAGTATTTTTTGAATTCTTTTTCCTAGAAAGAACAGGAACCTTTTACCAATTAGAAAATAATAGTAGTAATTGTTTTCAATTATATCTTTAATATATCATATCTTATAGTATTTATTGTTTTTCATGATGAACATAAAAAAAAAATAACACTTTATTTTGGGACTAAGGAAGTACTTAAAAAGAAAACGTTTAAAAAACACTTCTAAAAATAAGGATATTTGGTAGTTTGATGTGACTATTAACGTGTTTCCTAATATCTACGCTGAGAATCTTGTGTTCAATTTTTAACCTTGTACATTTTAAGAAATATTTTCTCCATTTTAAATTAATTAAATTTTTAATATATTTTACATCCTTTTAAGGAGATTAAGAAATAATCTGACATAATTTTTTTTATTAATTATTATCAAATTTTGCATCACGTGTTTCTATTTAATCTTATGCTAGTGTGAAGGCCATATATGATTTAATTATTGAACGACAGATGCATCAATATCTCAAAAGTATGATGGAGACGGCAAACCATGAGGTGCAAACAATCAAGCCGAGGCAGCTAAAGGGAAATTGATCAGCACGAAAATGCAGCTCTCAATGGCATTGAGTAAGCCTTTCGTCGTCTAAAATCCATATTATCTTAACTATAGTTTCAGATACAATGTACATTCTTTTACCTGTTTTTAGCATATTTTAAGGGTGTTTCGATTGAGCTTTTCAGAAGTGAAGTTAACTAAATACGCGAATTCCTGTGAATATAATTCTAGCTTCACTCTTTGTATGTGTTTTAGCCCTTACGTATCGGTGGGATTGCCTGAAAATAGAACTGATTTTACTCTATCTCGTGACAACCAGGTTTGGAAGTAGCAAAACCGTAGGGGCTTTCAGATAGTTTCTTTTGGTGTTTGGTGCATTATGTGGTACTGATAATTGTTGTTGAAGAAGTGGAACCTTCATCAGATTACTAAAAGAAACTATCGACTTTAAACGATATCGAATAAACTAGAAACAAGTAATGTCAGGGAGGATCCGTTTTGGTCTGTAACGTCTAAAAAGTGTCCGTTTTGAAGCGGGACTATATTGAATGAATTAGAAACAAGTAATGTCAAGGAGGTCCTTTATGGTCTGTAACATCCAAAAAGTGCCCATTTTGAAGTCGGACTATATACAGGATTGAAAGAAAATAGATTTAGGGATACTTGAAAATTTGCTCATCTATAGGGTTAGGCTGATTTTTCTTGGGCTTTTTTCATTTCTCTTTTAATTTTAGGCTTCTAACTTAACAACTAATACAATATACAGAGTATTACGACAGCTAATATGTATATAAAAGAAAATACTAATATTGTAACTTTCTAATAATATAAAATATAGATACGCAATATAGACTAACAATTAATATAATAAATATAAAACGAAATAAAGTAGCGACAATTGATTGTTTAAGGAAAAGAGGCGTAAAAAGATAATAGTAATTTCAATAATAAAACATATAATTTTATGAGTAGTTGTAGAAATACGACAACAAGGATAATAACAATAATAATATAGTAGCAAAAATAATAGTGCAAAAAGATAATTTGACACGTTATAAATTTAGAAGCTCAAAAAAAAAAAAATGAATTAAAAGAGAGGAATATTAAAATTGGATGTCAAAATAAATATGACAAGTAAAATAAATAGGAAGGATAATAAATTTGGTCGTGCGAGGATGAAATATATAATCAAATTTGGTATGTTGCTAGAAGTAAGTGACATGATCAAAGTTATAATATTCGAGACATAATTTTATTACATTATTAAATCGCTAATTTATGATTATATTACTTTTAAAGTATTTTACATTTCTCTGTCAAATTAAGTAGTTGTCAGGACATGATGATTTGATAGAAAATATTATTGAGATAAATTTAAAAAACACACATAAATTATCTCATTTGTTAATTTCAAATCTAAATTATTGAGTATAAGTTTCATATCTAAACTATCATATTTTTAGTTTGAAAAACATACTCCAGTTGTGTGTGTAAAACACTCTCTTATTTTTTATTTGAAAACATATTGACACATAGTATTCCACGTAGATAAAATATTTCACCTTTATAAAAATTTAATAATAAACTATAAATATTAACTAACAAATAAAGATTAAAGTCAGCAGCACCCCCCCCCCCCCCAATTATATCCCATCGTATTTAATCCCCTACGCCTAATTTTTATTCTTTTATACTTCTCATTTTGTGTTAGATACGTACGTACATATATTTTTAGAGAAATTTTTTTTTGCAGGTGTACGAATATAGCATAAGTAAATAAAAAAATTTGCGGCTGCAAGTAAAAAATATTTTTAATATGGATATATATTTAATGCTAAATAAGAGAAAAATTGAAAGCGGAGGTTTAGATGGAGTTGATAGAATTATTTCTTTAACTAATACCAATAATTTATTTAACTTTTGAGGTTGAAATATTTTGTCCATGTGGAGTGTAATGTGATAATTTTTAAAATGAAAGAGAGAATGCTATTACACACACCATGTTGAAAGTGGTATAAAAGAGAGATGTATTTTTCAAACTAAAAAGTTATAGTGTAAGTACGAAACTTACACTCTCAATAGTTTAAACTAAAAAAAAGTATAGTTTAGGCGTGTTTTTGACACTTATCTCAATATTATTTTATGTTAATTGAAAAAAATAACTATTTACATTTTACAATTTACTCCCCCGTCTCATTTTATGTGGCACCATTTTCTTTTTGTTTAATCCAAAAAAAAATGTCACAATTTTTTAAATGACGAGGAAAAAATTCAGTCTACTTAAAGTAAAAATATGTCAAATATATGAAAATATCATTAAATCTTGTGGTCCTAAACGTGCCACGTGAAAATTTAAAATGCAGAGATTCCTAAAAAGAGAAAAAAATTATTCTTTTGAAAATGGATGAGAAAATAAAATTAGGTTAAAATAAAATGAACGACGGAAGTATATATATTTACCGACCTTGAGCATAAACTTCTTTGTGAAAACATACGCCAGTTGAAATAAAGTTAAAAAATTGAAGCTTTTGATCTACCATGACTGTGCCTTCAAAAACTGAGAAAAGAATATATGTCCTTGCTCTTTGCGCCCCCAATGCACCACGTCCGACGGTTTCTAGGGCAAAGAAGAAATCAATGCCAAATAAAAAACATCAAGTTGCAGAGACGATGGCTTCTACCTCTGTTGAGCTTTCAGGATGTGGCTCAAAAAAAAAACCTACACCAAGGCCGTTTTACCCATCCAATATAAAACATCGAGCCTCTTCAAAGAATCAAGAACCATGCGGTAAGCAACCGCCTGTTCCAATTTATTTGTTTTTTTAATTTAAAGATTTTAACTAATTTGATTCGGCAAATAGAGTTAATGATACTTGATGAGAGGTAGCAGATGTTCACTTGAATAATCGGACTCGAAATAGCTAATGAATTTAGAATCTAGGGTTTTAGATCCAAATATCTTATATGTCCAACTATTGGATGATAAAGATACCCGATACTTGTGTTAGGGGTGCTTTTTGAAAATTAAATCAAATCGAATCAAATTGATTAATTATGTATCTTTACTTACTTTCTAGTTTGATTGCTAGTTTTTCATTTGATCATCCAACAAAATAATATGCATCTTTACTTTCTAGTTTGATTGTTATAGTCTTTAGTTGGTCATCCAAAAATCTATTTATATTCAAAATAACTTGTTTTCGAGTCATTTAATTGAATGTCATTATTTGATTCAATTATTAGTAAGACATCATGCTAAATTAAAACTCCTTAATTTTTTTTACACACAAAAATAAATTATAATAGGTTCTCGAGTTAATTTATTAAAGAAGGCATTACTTGAATAAGAGGGTATATTTGTAATTAGTAACAAATTAGTTAGGAGTTAATTAAAGTTGTTATTATATTCTTTATATATGTATGTATATATATAGATAGGAAGGTAGAGGAATGTAGTTAGTTCTGTTTTTCAATTTTCCTGTAGCTTTCAGTTCTGGGAATCTTCCAGAATACTTGAATATACTTCTCCTTCTTCTTCATGCTTCCAATCTGCATTCGTGAACATGGTATCAGAGCCTGTGCAATAGATACAATCAAAGTTTGTTCAAATTAGATCTGGTAAATTGAAGCAGCAATGACAGTCGTTGATAATGAACTTCCAGAAAAATTGAGTCATAATCATCCATTGTTCTTGAATAACATCGATAACTCAGGTGTTATGTTGATTTCGATCCAGCTATCTGGATTAGAAAACTTCTCAGTGTGGAGCAGAGCTATGAAAATAGCTATTCTAGGAAGAAATAAGCTAGGATTCATCGATGGATCTTGCAAGAATGAAGCATATGGATAAAACTTGAAGAATCTGTGGGAACGATGTAATGCCATTGTTCTATCATGGATTATGAATTGTGTATCAAAAGAGTTGCTTAGTGGAATTGTTTACTCAACTAATGCAGCAGAAGTGTGGAAGGAACTGTGTGAAAGATATGATAAAGTGGATGGGAGTTGAATTTATCAATTACACAAAGAAATTGCTACAATCAGTCAAGGTATGAGCACTATATCTGTATATTTTTCTCGATTGAGGGAGCTATGGGTAGAGTATGATAGATTGGTTCCTATGTCTTTGTGAGTGTCCTGGTTCTAGAGATTTCATTACGTTTATGCACAATCAAAAGTTGTTGCAATTTCTTATGGGCCTTAATGAGTCATATGATCAAGCAAGAGACCAGATTCTGATGA